GTATATCTATATTTGGGAAGGCATATTGTTTTTGGCAGAAGCTTAGAGGGGGCGAAGGGAATCAAAATTCTCCAGAGTTAAATGACTCAAAGACATAAAGGCAATAGACTGCTTGTCTGAGACAAATGTACTCTACTCAATAAGGAAAGCCTTTGACTTTTCTGTGGTTCATTGTGCAGTAATCCCAGAAGCAGTTTGAAGAAATCAATGAGGAAATCAATGATCATTACAAATGTGCAGGTTAGACAGACTGTTTCTGAATGTTATATTAAATAAACACCATGGTGACTTTAGAATGCATGTTATGCTGTCTAAACAGCTGGAGAGAAAAGAGAGAAACATTTACATTTTTGAGAGTGAAATAGAAGATTGTTTTCCCATTATATAGCGTCATTTTAAATTGAAACATTTGAAATTTTACTTAAAACTTTCTGTTGTCTCCACAATAATCAACCCACGGCAAGCTGTCAGCTCGTTCTCAGCAGTCAGGACGAATATTCAGAAGAATTTTCTGCAAAATAAAAACTGCAATGAAAATTCCTACAATGCTTTCTTGCCTTACTTAACTACTGTGTCTAATCTTTAACACTGCTTTTTTTTTAGACAGTGGGATTGTTTTTTTCAGTCAAGAGCGTTGTAGGTTAAAGCTCCATTCACACAAGGATTTAAAACAGAAACAATTACAAAGGAACTGCTGCAAACAGATGATCGGTTTTAAGGAAGCCAAATCCATCCATGTGAATGTTCCACGTAGAGTTTTAACTTTGGTGAATGTTGACATGTTAATGTGTGCCACTGACCAATAGCAAGCTGTCTTGACAGTGCTGAGCCTCATTGAAAACAATATTACAACTGTGAGTTTTATGAATATTGCATTGCAAAGGCGCTAGCTAACTGGCAGGATAACAGACAGAACACGAACAAACAATTACAAATATGCTGTGTAGGAGTGCACATGAAGACCAATGTAAAAAAAAAAAAGCACACACTTCAGCACACCACATCACCTTAACACTCTGTGATAACACACACACACACACACACACACACACACACACACACACACACACACACACATACAGTTACTTACAAGCATGCACGCCCTCTCTTTCCACATATGTTAATGCTTGCCAATAAATTTTGTTTATTTTGAAGGCATGCTTCTGTTGAATTATAAATGACCATATGGGAAGGTTGTTCTATGAACTGAGGGCTGAGAAGGAGAAGAAAAAAGAAGGAGAAAAAGAAACTAAGAAGAGGGGAAGGAGGGGAGGGAGGAGGAAATAGAAGCAGACAGATGCCTGTAATGAGGAAACACTACTGCGCTTTGCCTCAACCCATATTCTGTCAGAGGTAATCAGACAGGATGAATGGATGGATAGAGAGCACAGGAAAGGAGAGAAAAGAAAGAAAGGAGAGGCGAGAAAAAGCTAAGAAGATGAGGGAGGCATAAGGGAAGTAAAAGGGAGATATGTGAGCGTAAAAAGGGAAGAGAAGAGGAGGATTTAAAGAGGAGGTGGAAATAGAGGTTAAAATTTCAAGGAAAGGAGAGTTGAGATGAAAAGACATGGAACAATGAGAAAAAAGCAGAGGGAGGTGGTGGACAAGAGAGAATGAGGGATGAGAGGGGAAAAGAGCTAAGGATGGAGCAAAAGAAGGCTAAAAAAGAAGAGCAGGACGGTGAAAAGAGTGTGATTGTGAGAAAAGGTAGAAATAAAAATAAGACTGTAGATGAAGGAAGAAGAAAGAGGTCAAAAGAGGAGGGGGAAGTAAAAGTTCAGAGAGGGAAGGAAACAAGATGAGGGGGAGGAAAGAAAGTTGGAAATGTAAGTGAGGCGATGGGAGAGGAGGAGAGGAAGGGAAGTGGTGAGGAGATGGGAGGACAGGAGGCTGGTAGATTAACATTTATTCAGTGTGCTGAAGGGATTTCAAACATGGCATCCACCGTTTGTGTTTGGCAGATGGCCGGAGGAAGAGTGTGTTAACACTTCAACTCAAATCAGCCCTTTCCAAACTGCACGAGAGAGAGATGGAGGGAGAGAGAGAGAGAGAGAGAGAGAGAGAGAGAGGGGTAGTGAAAAGTATGTGTTGGTGTGTGTGTGAGAAAGAGAAAGATGAGTGTGACAAAGAAGTCACAGGGAGTCAAATGTCCTCACAAGGATAGAAAGATTATCACAGCGGCCTCTGAGGGGATTTTTAGGGTCAGATCTTGGGTGTTGGTTTAAGTCTTGCAAAGCCAGGCCACAAATTTAGCTCCCTTGGTTGAGATCTGCCGAGGCTCAATGAGCATTTGCTTGGGTTAGAGGTGCTGTCAATTGATGGAGACCAAAATGACTTTCCAGTCAACTAGATCAGACTTTAACCACTAGATTTCATTTGAACCCCGTCTTCTGTGAGACTTAAACATGAACCCTTCCTGCTGTCACTTAGAGTGTTGCCATTTTCTTTGATTTTTTTTCTGTTTTCAAACTGGAGACTTGTGTTGGATATTCAGAAAACATGAAATTGCTCCCAAACTTGTCACTGAAATTGGTCACTGTCAGTTTTCAGGTGGGGAATGTATCATAGAGTTGCAGAAAGATGCAACATTTTTGGCCTATTGCTTGGTTTTCAATAGTTAGCTCCAGAGTTTCCAGAAGCAGTGAGTCACATCCTCACTTAAACAATTTACCACTGTTGATCCTCAGTGGAACAAGCTACTTGCTACCTGCTACTGAAAACACCAGGGTTAAGTCTATGGTCTCATGGAATATATGTCATATTGTCACATTTTTACCATGTAGTGGATCAGTATAGATTCAATGGCTCTGTAACAAGTCATGTCTCTGTGAAAATCAGAGCCTGACCGATATATATCGGCAGGCTGCTATTATTGGGCGATATAAGCCTGTCACAGATTTAACGGTATGGTATTGGTGTTCGATAGGCACCAATATGAAAACTGCATTCTTCTGAGTACCTTTTCGTAGTCATATCAGTAAAGAATTTGTGCACAATCCACATATTTATCGTCCTCCATATTGGTAATCTGTGAATTTTCCCCCTCTAAAATTGGTATCTGACTCAGAAATATCAGTTGGGCTCTAGTGAAAGTATAACCTATATCCTAATATGCATTCAAGTTACAGTACGGTACCTTTATTGTTTAGGAAAGTGTTACGTTTAGGGCTGGGGGCAAGGGATCCTAGTCCCATACGCAGAGCAGTGTGTGTAAGAGATAATTCATCCTATTATTAACAGAAAGCAAATCCACTGTTTCAAAAGGGGAACTAAAGTTCAAGTTGACGGAAGAAAAAGACAGAAGACCCTTTTACCAATATTTAAAGTTTAGCTGCAGCCAGTCGGTCTGCCTGTCTCACCACATTTCCTTCTAATAAAGACAGCGCACAAAGTCGTTTCCCTGGGGGCCTTTTAAAACATTTTCTCAAGAAAATGAGCCTTTGTACAATCACAGCAAGCAAGATGGACAGTTTCCATTACCAGGCCCTTGTAATTAAAGGATTTGTACTAATAGCAAATTTATCATAATTCCTGTTGGCTATCAAGTCCTTGACAGGCTATTTCATTTCAGCACAATGTTTCATTTTAAAACCTTCAGGTTAGTGCAGTGTCTTTGCCTTGACATCTAAACCCTCGTAATGAGACGTGTACACACGCACGGATCTGTGCTTGCAAACACACACACACTCGAATTGCAAAAATCAAAGCACACAGGCGCAATTATCTGGATCATACTGGTCAGGTATGTGCATGTGGGTCCAATGGCATAAACCCACATACAAATACGCATACACACATTCATACACATTCATACACATTCACATCCCTAAACCATTCAATAACACTTCAACCATACAATCTGCTCCTATTGTTCCATGCTAAATAGAGACCTGAAGTTGCCTTGTACAAGATAATAAGTATACACACACACACACACACACACACACACACACACACACATCTACAGAACATACAATCAGACAAGACGTCATTAGTGCGCACAAAATCATAGCAAACACTTGACACAGCATCACATTCACATGCTAATTCACACTCTAATGGTCGAACATACACAGACACACTACATTCAGAACATGCCTCACTCTGCACATCATTACAGCAACCTGTCTTTGCTCAAAAATAAGGCTTCATTTTGACAAAAGTCTCTCTGCATAAAATAGAGGCTGCAGACTTTGATCATCAAGCAGGATTGAAATAAAATCCCTCTGCAAACTGAAAGTTATTTTTGCCACAGTAGTTTTCTGTATCTGACTTACAGAAGTTTAGGGAATTAGTTTGAATGGACTTTGATATTACATTCTGAAAAAGAAGGGATCTTATTACATTTGCATATGTATATCTTATTTTCAATTAAACATATTGTCTTGCATTGATCGAAGAGGTAGTGAGACTGTCAAATGTTCAAATCAAATTTTATCATCTCTTAAAAACGTTCTGGTGAGTGTATGCTGACTGATTCAAGACCACATTCTGTTGGCATCTGGCTCTCAGTGGGTGGTTGCGTCCAACAGTAGGACGCACCCAGAGTCGGGGGGAGTCAGTCAGTGACTGGCTGAAGTGTCTGAAGCTAGGCAGATAGTTGCTGGAACAGAGGTAAAGAGCTGTGTCCTAAAGCTGAAGGAAGGTCTCTTTATCCAGTACCTGGTACTTCAGCATGAAACCAGAAACAGCCATGAAATCTAAAACACACCAAACCAATTAACTAAATTAAAGTTAGTCCAGATCATCTAACTAATGCCCAATTGAGGGGAAAAAAAGCAATTCAGCTCACACCAAATGAATCAGTCCAAACCAAACCAGAAAGACCAACGAGTACTAAAATAGATTACTTGAAATAGACTATACAGAACCAACCCAAACTGGACTAAACCACACCAAAGCACACCAAGCCAAACTGAAGTTATAGCTAAATTAAATCACAACCATTTTCAGCAAAAACTACTGCAGGAGTAGTCCATTTGTGTCATTGCAGTACTTAC